CTTTGTTCTTCCTGGAACTCTAATCACACATGCACTGGGGTGCTCAGCACAGGCCCTGAACCTTTTTCCCCATCCTTCTGCCCTCCACCACCACTACAGCCCCTTGTGTCCACTACCCTGTCTCCAAGCCCACTGATACTTTTCTATAATGCTGAATTTGCTGTTAAACTCATCCAGCAAGGCTATTACTGATATTCTTACTTTTATTACTTTTATTTGTTTGCTTATTTTGTTTCCATACCTCCGTTAGATGCTCTATCTAATCCTTCACTGTGTTTATCTTTTCTTTAAATCTTTGAACATAAATGAGATGAATCAACATTTCTTTTACTATTGGTATGTTACAAATTACTACAGAACTCTCCAGGTTAGAGCAACCTTTTTATTATGCAGATGGAAGCTATGCTCTGGAAACTTGGCCAGACCATGAAATAAGAAGGTGGAGCAAGAAACTGGATGGGACTTGGGACTACTGTATAGGGTCTGGGGTGTTAGCTAGGAAGGATTAGAAATGGGATGGCTCAATGGTCGGGGGTGAGGTCATCTAGAGCCCTGCCCACTCCTTCGTGGGGCCTCGATGAACCTCACAAAGACCAGAAATGCCAACCTGATCGTAATGTGGTCTCTACCTACAGCAAGAGGCCTTCATATCTCAGGGTTCACAGCAGGGGAGCTCCAGTGAGCAAGACAAAGAAGCACTGTCCCCAGGACCCCCTCCAAAGCCACACGGTGCAACTCTGGTGTTCCTTCCTTCCCAGCACCATCCTAAGCTCACCCAGATTCAGGAGTGTGGAGCATGGACCTCCCTCTCCATGGGGCTCATTCAAAGAACTTGAGTGCCATGTTTGAAACAGCAAAATCAGGACAAAGTCATTGCCATGGAGGTGAGCAAGCGTAGCTCAGAGTAAGGCGATGGCAGGAGAGGTGGAGAAAAGGTGTGTGTGAAAGGAAGGCGGCACCTTCTGATCAAATCGATAGGCAAGAAGAGCAGGCCAAGGAAAAGACGAAGCCCAGGTCCTCACATCTGTGTTACCTTTTCTTCTCTTCCTCTTTTTCTTCTGTACTGGAGATTGAATCTGGGGCCTTTCACTGAGGTAAGTCCCCGCACTGCGTCGTTTTTTATTTTGATACAGGGGCTTGAAATTTGCCCAGGCTGGGCTCACACTTGGGATCATCCACTGTCAGCCTCCCCGGTAGTTGGGGTCACAGGTTCTGGGTTCTTGGTTTGTGCAATTGGATGGCTGGTGGTGCACTTTCTTGTCACACGGAAGAGAGGAAGAGGATGGGCTTGCATGATGTGTGCTGTTTTTTACAGGGAGGGTTAACTCGAGCTAGGATTTGAAACTGTGGGTGTGGAAGGTTCTGGAAAGCATCAGAGCAAAATGTCAAACAGACAGTCACATGTGTGAATTAAGAAATGAGAATTGGAGATAACATGTTGGATCAGTGAGTTACAGTAATCCGCACCCCAGACCTGATGGCACCACAGAATGTGAAGTGGGAAGAAAAGCAGATGAGTGTAAAGCATTGCCCAGCGTCTGCAGCCATGGAGGGACCAAGTCACAGGGGCTGGAAGAGCAGACCAGGAGCTCCTAGGAAGCCAAGGGCAGGGAAGAGTTAGAGCAGGGGGAGGGGTGGTGTGGAATGCTGGCAAGCTGCTAGTTGAGAAGCCTGAGGATCTACCGCAGGGAGGAGGAGGTTGTTGTCCACCATGAAACTGTTTCTTTAACATGGGAGGAAGCCTCATGGGAAGTGAGGGAAGGAAGAAACAAAAAAAGGAGAGAGCAAGCTTTGCATTCCGCGATTGTCATCACCCCTTAGCCCAGTGTCCACGTGGTTCGCAGGGCCTCCCCTCTCACTCTGCCTTTCCTGAGAAGCATACCTGTGTTTCATGCTGCCTGCTTCCCCTGTGAAGATGCTGCTTCACAGGAAACCCTCCTGCACTTCCTAGCCTGACTTCTCCTCCACCCAGTCAGACTTGTAGCATCAGAACCACACCCCTCACTCAACCTGTCCTCCACAGCTGCCTCCTGCAGCAGCCGCTCCCACCTGGGGACCTCAGCCTGTGGCATTCCATCCCAGGGACTCTTCCTCAGCCCAGGGCCAGTGGCCCTTCTGAAGGGCACCCGGCATGGGTTTCTGCAGAAGCTAGGAAGGTGGTATCTCAGCACTCCCCTAGGTCACCCCTCCACTGTCCTGCCATCCTCCTTCTCTGTTTCTACTTCTGCACAGGCTGGATTCTGAGGTCATCTTACACTGCTTGTTCCCTCCCTGCTGCTCACACCTCTGCTCCTGTGCACACAAGTGGCAGCCTCCTGCTCCTCTGCACCCTGATGGCTCCACCACTGCTGTGATCCACACCCCACGTGCCACCCACCAGGCACCTCCCAGTGACTTTCATAGTGGCCTTCTGCACATGGCACCACACCTCCCTGTGGTTCACTGAGTAAAATGGAAAGAGGAAGACAAAAGAAAGAACGAGTGGCCAAGAGACTCCAGCTGCAGCAGCCTCTGCACCTTGGCCAGGTTCCCTGGGGTGTCTGAAGGGTCCTGAGACACCATCCCCTGCAGGTGTCAGGGCTCCCTGCTGCTTGCTGTAAACTGTGGAGGAGACATGGGGCTCCCAAATAGCAGGTCACCTGCTTTGTCTGCTAAAGCACCAGATTTAAACTGATCAGCCTGTGCTTTGACCCCCAAGAAAGTCATGGGGCATCACACACAATTCCAGAAGTTCTGTGGACAATGATTTCGCTAAGGTGTATCAGGAAGAGCTGAGAGGTTTGCCTTTTGCTCTTTTTCTATTGCTCTACCTAAAGTTGGCATTTACAGCTCCTTCTGATACAAAGGGCTCTTAAAATGAGTATCTGACCCAAACCATTTGAATCTATGACATAGATATATACGTACATATATATTCTACTAAACAATGTGTATGCACTTCAGCAGGTGGACATATTCACAAATGTCTGGAAGCTGATGATCATCTGGAAGCAGCTGAGCACTGCCTATAAGCCTAGAGGCCAAAGGTGGCTTGTATTAGTCTCCTGAAATCTCAGTACATTTTAATATTAAAATATCTGCAAGTTTTCCTTGTCCTTAGGAATATATTCTCTAGTGAACTCTTTGTGTGTGCATGTAGGTACGCACGTGTGTGTGTAAGAGAAAACAGGGAAAGGAGGAAGAAAAAGACGAGGAATAAAAAAAAGAAGGAAGAAGAGGGAGAGGAAAAGGAGGAGAAGGAAAGGAAAAGGGGGTGGGAGGTGCTTTTTGGAGGCAGGATCTCTGTGCAGGACCCCTGTGAGCACCCATGATGCCAGTTCCCAGTGGTGACCAGCCCGAAACAGGTTTTGCAGACAGCCCTTGAGGAGCTGCAAAGACTCCTGGTCAGAGTCATGGATACTGATTCCACACTTTCACTGCACAGGGGTGACTTCAACTGCTGCCCCTGCAGAGCAATAACCACCTCAGACAGCCCTGAGAGTCCTGGAAATCACACAGTGAACTCTTGGGTTGACTACTGGTCTTCTGGAAATAGCCCACATATGGAAACTTTCCAGCAAGTTTCTAAAAGTGTTCTTCGAGCACTCTGTAGAGTCCAGCCTGCAAGCACATGGAAGGTGCCTCAGGGAGACATACAAAGAGCTGCCTTCTAACAGGAAGAGGAAGAAGAGCTTGCTTCCAGGTTAAAGCTAGGAATAAGGGTCAAGGCTCAGGAGAGCTTGCTACAGGGCCAACGCTGGGTGTTTTCTGACCCGCACTTTATACAATGAGGAAACGTCAACATAGGAAGGTCCAGCAAGTTTCCCAATGTCACAAAGCTTGTTAGGAAATGAGCTGGGATCCAGAACCCTGTCCCAGAAGTCACATCTGTTTACCAGTTGCATGGATTATCTTGGCCAAGTACTGAAAATACCTTCAACTGGACAGAAACAAAAGATTGAGGGTGACAGTAGAAGCAGATGCTTAGGTAGGAAATGAAGAGGTCTTAAAACGTATATTCTTTGAAGAAGCCTGATATGTAGATTTAAAAAACAAATAAAACCATAATGTGAATAGGAGTAAAAAGATACCTTATGGATTTGAGAGGATCAGAAATTTCTAGAAGGTTCTAGTAGGTTCTTATATGTTCCTGGGTGATCTGGAGTGAGGTTGCTGTGGAACCATTCTACAAATGAAGGATGTATTTAATTGTTGCAATCCATTACTTACAAAGGAACAGTTTCAAAGAAAAGTGACATGAGACTTCCAACTTGGTGGAACTGACAGGTATTCGGTTTGCTCAGCAACTTCAGGGAAAGAGGGTCTGACCTGGACAGCTGAAGGTCAACTGAAAGTCAAATGAGACTTTGTCCCTACAGAAGCAGAACATGATTGCCACACTGGAGAACTGCACTGGGTTTGATTTCATTTCAGTGCACCCACGCGTGGAGCAACTGTTCATCTCGCCTCAAAAACTTTAGCCCATTAGTTTTAAATTCCTAATGCAATGAAGTATTTCAGAACTTTATATAAATGCTATTTTTTGCAAGATCATAGGTGTACTTTTTAAGGTAAGTGTATTTTTTCTGAAGAAAAATGAAAATTCTAATTCATAATCGAATACATACTATATAACAAAATACAGAATATTCGAAGACTCTCATACGAACATCATATTTATGGAGATGACAAATGCAAAGAAGAAATGATAGTCACTCTGCCACACCGAGGAATGTTTGGGACAAACTCCACCCTGAAATCAGGCACCTCTGCTCACAACCAGGAGCCAGTCACCAAATGGGCTCAGCCTTGCAAGGAACTTCTCATGAGTCCCCGGCTTTGTCTGGATCCCTCCCCAGCATGAGAGTCTGGCATAGCCTCTGAACCTCCTCTGCAGAGCACTTGCAGAATGTGCATGCACACTGTGCTGCCATTCCCCGGGCTGCTCTCTGTCAACCTCCAGCCCAGGTGCCTGCCCTCCCCGTGTCCTTCCTTGAGAGGAAGTTCTTCCTTCCACTCACCTGTTGGAGCATCAGCAAGCTGCACCTCAAGCTGCATTTTCCTCCTCGGCTTTGTCCTGCTGCTCAGTTATCTGTGACTGACCAGGCCAGGAGCCAACTGGAAGAACAGAAAGAGGAACCAGGAGACTTGAAGTTTCCCTGTGTCCAGGCTCTCTGTGAGTTCAGTCCTGTGTAGCTGGAGTGTGCCTGCACTTGTGGGCTCCTCGGAAGGGCTCAGGTTCACCTCCTAGCCAGGCTGTTCCTGCACTATCCCTGCTTCATCATGGTGGGGCCCAAGTGCGATCCTCTCCGGGCCAGCTACTGAGCACCAATGAGTGTCTGCTGCTGTGCAAAGCATACAGTCGGCTTCACAGGTGCAGCTGGACTGGAGAGAAAAGCAGAACCTCCTGCTGCTTTCCCTCAGCAGAGCCTTGGAGCTGAACGCCCTTGTGTAACCTTCTGATTACTGGCACTAGGAAAGCCCAAGTCTGTCACAGAAGAGGGAGAAAGGCTCAGGGGGAGGAGCGGGGATAGACAGAAGGGTCAGAGCCTGGGACCATTGCCCCACCCCTTCAGTCAGGTGCTGCTGGTCTGTTAGACCCCAGCCAATCTCATCAGTAACAGACCAGGAACAGGGTGTGTTCAAAAACACAGAGTAGTGAATATGTACATTTTAGAACATCACAGTGACAGACACTCTGCCATCAATCTCCCTCAAAATACCATCCCTTGCTCCAGACACACATATGCCACAGCTCTTCCCGCTCTCTGACGCACTCTGGAAGTCCTCCCTCTTGCATGAGTGTTTAGCTGTGCTCCTGCAGATGCGTGAGTGCACTGAATTGGTTAAAGACATTCACCTTCTGATTGTGACTTTGGGGAGGAACCAGAAGCCCCTGGTACCTGACTGGTGAGTGATATGGTGAGAACACAGCACCATGACCCCAGGCTGCCTTTCACTGAGTGGCGCTCTGCAGCAGCATGCACTGTGTGTTTTAATCTCATCTCATAAAGACCCTCACAAAGGAGTCTTTAGAGCTCCTTCAGAGTATGGCCAGAACGGTGGGGTGTGTTTGAAGTGAGGGGAAGTTCTTTGATGGGGATTCATGGCAAAGTCTATTTTAATAAAATGTCTTTATTTTTAATTGAAGCATTCATCATGTTTTTTTTTTATCACAGCTTACATGTACCTTCTGACACTCCCCAACTCCTGGTTGTCTGTTCACTGTGCAAAGAGGACATAGCCTGTGCCAGGGAAGAAAGGAGAGAGGCTGCAGGCCAGCCAGGCTCTAGGCTGCCTCAGCCTGCCCTCAGCGCCCTGGGGGCTGGGCTGCTGGGCTGTGCTCACACTGTGGGGCTGCCCCCTCCTCCTCCTCCTCCTGCTCCTCATTCTCCTCCTCCTCCTTCTGCTCCTCTTCCCTCTCCTCCTCCTTCTCCTCCTCCTCCTCTCCTCCTCCTCCTCCTGCTTCTCCTCCTCCTTCTCCTCCTCCTTCTCCTCCTCCTTCTCCTCCTCCTTCTCCTCCTACTTCTCCTTCTCCTCCTCCTCCTTCTACTCCTCTTCCCTCTCCTCCTCCTTCTCCTGCTCCTCGTCCTCCTCCCCCTCGTCCTCCTCCTCTCCCTCCTCCTCCTCCTCCTACCCCTTCTCCTCCTCCTCTTCCCTCTCCTCCTCCTCCCTCTCCTCCAGGATGGCTCATAGGGAGACAGGGCTCTGGCTGCGCCTAGCAGCCATGAGTGGAGGCGAAAGCAGCCCTGGCTCTGGGGTAGAGGAGACTTCTGTAGCCAAGTTCACTGCCAGCACCGAGGGCTCCTCCCAGCCCACTGCACTCTGGCTGAGGCAGCGGAAATGGTCTCTTGTGTGAGTTCCCACATTGACACATGGCCTGTGTGACCTTGTGTGATGGAACCTGAGGCCTCACACAGATGGCAAACAGTAAAAGGATTTTGACAAGTCTTACCTACCTCCCTCTTAACTTTTACCCCATTCACATGGGGGAATTATCACCTCTCATAACTTCACTCCTCCTAACCCCACACTTACTTTTCAGAATTCTACCTCACCGTGGCAATGATTCTACCTCGACATGGTCCTGATAAAATGGCATATCTAAATCAAAGGCACCTTTTCTTCTACCTCACCTGGGTCCTTAAATGTGATAGTGGCCCACCTCCTCATAATACCTTGGCTCTTTGTTTTTCCAGTCTAACGTGAAGGCATTTACCAGTGATAAAGTTGTTCTGGCTGAAACACCTGGCACCAGCTTCTACACGGGCATCAACCATCATCCTGTCGAACCTCCTAACCCCAATACTGCGCCTCCTTTCAGAAAGTAGTAAAAAAAAAAAAAAAAAAAAAAAGAAAGATAGAAAGAAAGAAATAAAGGAAAGAAAAACCTCACCCTTTTTCCTAATAATAATAAGAAAACAGGAATGAAAGGATGTTGCCCTAAATGGGGCACTGCAGTGGTGTGAGGTTGGGAGGCGAAACTAATGGGCTCGATCTTGAGGTCACATTCCCGCCCCTAGGCCATTTACTTGTGGAGAGAAATGAATTCCAGTGAGCTACTTGTGCATCAGTAATGCCCCTTAGGCACCACCCCAGACCAAAGCTATGTGTATGCCCCCACAACATATGCCCAACAGAGAGAAAAGCCAGACCTCAGTGGTTGGGGGTTTCTCCCTCTGCATTCCTAAAATCAAGGCCACTTTTATTTCATATTTCTATCTTTTTAGCCACCCAAAAATTCTATCAAATGGGAAAGAATCTGCACACATTTTTCACAGAAACACCACCACCACAGTCCATAAAACCCCTCAGATCAGAACAGTGCTGCCAAAATCCTTCATTTAAATCTGCCACTGCTCCCAGAACCAATCAGAAGGTGGTCTTTCAATCCCTCATTTGGATGAGGGCACAACCAATCAGCAGACATTGCTCCTGTTGCTCCATTTGTATGCATGTATGCATACAAATATAAGTATGCAAATATACAAATGCATGTATGCATGTATGCAGCAAGAATCCCAGTGAGGTCTCTAGTAGAACCCTTTACATCAGACTGAGGCTGACAGAACAGTGTTTGCCTCACACTGCTCCCAGTAACAATAGTACTGGCACCAGGAATCCCTGTCCCTTACCCTCAGGGCCACTGTGAGCCTTTCTACTGGCCTGCTCACACTCTGCAGAGCATTTCTTTTCCACCTTCAACAAACGTGCACTTTTGCTGACTTTCTGTGTGCCTTTTCCAACTCTGTTTTGGACGTCAACTACCTGGGAAGAGGCCCCATGGCACCTTCCACCCAGTACCATTAGCACCTCACGATGCCACCACTACCAATCCGCACTACAACTACATGTTGAAACTGTGTAAATGAAGTGTAACCATTTCGTTTTATTTTTATCTCAAGTACATTTCAGAGGAAGCATAAGCATGGCAGCATTAGTTTCCCCCTGGAAGATCGCAGAGGAATACTTGAAGGGTAATAGTGACCTCAGGAACTGTGTTGGGAGGAAGGAGCTGTATAGAGAATAAAGATGAGCTGAAGAGCGGTAAAGGACAGTCTTCAGCTGGCCTCTCCATGAAATGAAATGCAAGCTCTCTCCTGGATAAGAGCCAGGTGAAGGTCGCCATCTTTACGGTCACCAAAACAGATTTGGGGTGCCAACGGAGCCCCCAAGAAGCAGGAAGGGCTAGACTTGGTGCACGGATGTTAGAATGCAGAAGAAAGAAGGAGAGACTGTGTTTTCACACTTACAAGTGGAATTCATTGGGTTTATTTTGTTCCAGAAGACAAAGAGAGAAGGAGCTGGGCAACATGGAATGGTGGCAAGCTCTCCGGGGATCGTGCTGGCTAGAGGAGGAATATCTGTAAAAAAGAGTAAAGCATGTCAATCCGTTTTTAGATATGCTGATTTTGAAATATTGTCGACATCAAGATCTTAGAAGTCTGTTAAATTATAGGTGACTGACATACGGTTTTTCAGAATATGAACTGTAGTTAAAGTCACAGGAGTAGTTGGGGCCCCTTAAGTCAGAGAGATGGGAGTGGAGGTGGTGAGAGGGAAAGAATGGTACCCTGACTAAGAATCTTGGATTTCTAAAGTACAGAGGAAAAGAGGCACAAAACAGAGAAAATAAAAATGTTGCCTGTCAGGGGTGGGATTTAGCTCAGCAGCATAAGCACCTGCCTTGCAAGCAGGCAGTCGTGAGTTCGATCCCCAGTACCAATAAAAAGGAAAAAGACAAAAAAAAAAAAAAATTGCCTGTCTTAGTCACTTCTGCCTCAATGAGACACTATACCTGCCACCCACAATTTGAAAGAAACTTTATTTCGGCTCATGGGTTTTAGGGCATCAGTACATAGCTGGCTGACCCCAGAGCAGAAGGATCTGGTGAGGAGGGCTGTTCACTTCATTGTGAGTGGGAAGCAGAGGGAGAAAAGCTGAGCCAGGGAAGGACATGCACCTTCCCAGGCCACACACCAGTTCCCCAACTGCAACAATGTCCACCTACAACAACACCCCCATCTCTATGAGCACATTCACCTCTGAACTCTTCTAGGCATCAGTCTGCTAGTGAGTATGCCCTGCATGATCCAGTCATCTTAAAAGCCTAAAGTCAGAATACATGAGCATGGGGGTATGGGGTATTTTAGATCTGAACTGTAACAGCCACTGTAGCAACCATCAAGGTTGGAGAGGGCATGGAGACAGAAGCCAAGGGTAAAAAGAGATGTTCGAAATGGCAATTGGTAAGGACAGTGGTTCCTGGATGTCCACCAGAATCCTTACAGGTGCCAAAACCTTTGGACTCTTAAATCCTGTATGTAAATTATAATCCATAGAAACTGTGTGCATCTTCTTACATACATTAAATTACCTCTAAAACTTGCAATGCCTATTGCATTGTACGCAGTTGTTACACTATCACATTTAGGAAGTAATGACAAGAAAAAGTCTGCACATGTTTGGTACTGATAGCTTTTTCTGAATGTTTTGATGGTTGACTGAATTCATACATGTGCGGTCTACAGAAATGGACAGTTACCTATAATGAAAATGCTGAGATGGAGGTAGAGAAGGCAAGAGAACTCCTTCTAGCAATAAAAGGAGTGGCCAGTGCCCTTACCCACTGTGACTCCAAGCCCTTACCCACTGAGGCGGGCAGACCACAGAAGCTGGGAGAGGATGTTAGAAGTAGGAGACAAGTCTAACGGGCTTGGCTGAATGGAAGTGAAAGACTGATGCTTCGAAGTCATGAAGAGGAGGGAAGTGGTAGCCCTCATCACAGACATTGCCCTTAAGAGGAGAATGAGGTCTTGGGAGATCAAGGAACTCCACAGGGCGTTCTCTGAAGAATGTTGGGGAGAAGGAAGCCTCTTTTCCATGGAACCGGAGCTATTCTTTCTGCTTCCCCAGCCTAGTTAATTCCTGTTGATCCTTCAAGGTTTGGCCTAAATGACTTCCTTGGGAACTCTCCTGGTTTGTTATTTTTGTATCT